GGCTGGCGCAGTGGGGTCCCCTGTGGGTCCTGAGAGCTGTGGCCCTGTCCCCAGCTCTGCGGAGGGGTGAGGCCCGCCGAGCCAAGGCTTCAGAAGACCTGCTGAGGCAGAGACTGCAAGGGCTGGAGGCTGAACTGGAGGAGGCCCGAAGGGAAGGGAAGGCCGTCTATGCAGGTAGGTGATTGGCCAAGCAGGGGAGCAGCAGGGGGGCAGCAGGAGGGCTGGAAGAGGACAGCCCAGAGGCCAGAGGATGCAGGGAAGTGAGGCCGGGAGGCTTCCACCCGCCATGCCTGGTCTCAGGCTTCCCAGCAGAGCCAGACCAGGCAGGACCTGCAGGGAGGAGAGGAAGGCCTTTGGGGTTCTGGGAAGGGGCCTTCCAGGATGCCGGATGCCGCACTGTGGATGCTCTGTGCGTTACAAAATGCAGTCCTCGCCTTAATTTCATTCACCCCGTGGGAGGGAGCAGGGGAAGGCTGCCACCCCGTCCTGAGCCGGCATGGAAGCCGGGCCTGGTCCATGCGTGGTTCTCGGGTTCTGGGGCCCCTCCGCTCCCCAGAAGCACCAGGAGAGCCATGAAGGCCATTGTGGTCTTGTCCCACGGGACTAAGCAGAGCCACTCACACCCACAATGCCCCTCTTCCTCCCCCTCCACCCACCGGACCCTGGCCGCTCACTGCCCCACAGAGATGAGTCGCCAGTGCCAGGCCCTCCGGGAGGAAGTGGAGACCCGTGGCAGGCAGCGGGAGGAGGAAGACAGAGGCCTTCGGGAGCAGCTCGGTAGGATCCCCGTCCCCTAGCCTTTCTCTCAGAGGGTCATGAGGTCGGCCTGAGGCGGACTAAGAGGTCTTTCTCCAGAAGACTGCAGTCCTGGCTCTTTCATCACTTTCCCCCACGGCCTCTCCTGCCTTTGCGGACTAGAACAGAGGGTACAGGATGTCAAAGATCTTAAGTTGCCTTAAGATTTCAATAAATCTTAAGTGAAACCTGACCAGCGTGGCTCAGTGATTGAGCGTCTACCTATGAACCAGGAGGTCAGGGTTCGATTCCCAGTCAAGGGCACATGCCAGGGTTGCGGGTTCAATTCCCAGTGTGGGGCCTGCAGGAGGCAGCCGATCAATGATTCTCTCTCATCATTGATGTTTCTCTCTCTCTTCCTCTCCCTTCCTCTCTGAAATCAATAAAAAAAATTTTTTTTTTAATCTTAAGTAAAGAAGACAAGTCTCTCACCCCATTTCCCCCTTTCAATGGCTTCTCCAAACCCAGCTGTTCCTCCCACCACTGCATCTTTCCTAAGCAAAACATATTCCCTCTTAGTCTGGCTGACTTTTACAACAAAACTCAGGGAAATGTTTGGCTTGTGTACTTCCATATCTTCAAGGCCGAGGCCATCGTGAGAAATGGCTCACCTGTCCGAATTTCAAATGTTGGGCTGGGAAACAGAAGCATGGTGAAAATGAGACTTTTTTTTAAAGTTTAGATTATTCTGTCAGCTTTTTTTTTTTAATCCTACTGGGGATCAAGCCCACAACCCGGGCATACACCCTTGACCGGAATCGAACTCAGGACCCTTCAGTCCGCAGGCCGACGCTCTATTCAATGAGCCAAACCAGCTGGGGTGAAAATGAGACTTTTAATAACACAGGCACACACGTGGGGCAGGGAACACAGCCTATTTATTTAGTCCCTCCTCCGATTCCTCATTGGCTGGGTACTATTTGGTCACCTGTTTCCTAATACATCGCCTAGGTCTTGCTGTTCCCATTGGGCCATTTAAAAAACATTGGGCTGAGGCCTTTCTAGTTGACTCCCCCACCCCTGTCTAGCTGAGGCAGACGCCTGGGGGTTCCACCATGTTGGCCCACAGGCACAGCTCTTGGCCCCTCCCTCCTCCCTGCACTCTGCCTGCCCTGGGGAAGTTCAGTAAATCCCATCCAAAGCCCACCATGCTGCCCTGGCCGGTGTGGCTCAGAGGATAGACCGTCAGCCTGTGGACTGAAGGGTCCCAGGTTTGATTCTGGTCAAGGGCACATGCCTGGGTTGTGGGCCTGATCCCCAGTAGGGGGCGTGCAGGAGGCAGCTAATCAATAATTTTCTGTCATCATTGATGTTTCTATCTCTCCCTCTCCCTTCCTCTCTCTGAAATCAATAAAAATGTATTTTTTAAAAATGCCACCATGCTGGAGATGGTCACAGAGGTGCATTCCCTGCACCATGGTGGACCCTAAATAACTGTTCGCTAAATAAATGAATAAACCTCCCAAATAAGCAAATACTAGTATATTTTAAAAACAGGAGTTTTTGCTTTCTTCCTTCTTGGTTACCGGATAGAGTTGAAATAGGTCAGCATGGCATACAAGGCTTCTTACCACTTAGGCTTCAAAGGTTTCTTATCCTAAAATAGCTTTAGTTTAGCTGTAGATCAGTGATTCCCAAAGTGGGCGCTACCGCCCCCCGGTGGGCGCTGCAGCGATCCAATCCAGGGGGGCGGTGATGGCCACAGGTGCATTTGGGGGCGATGAGTAACTGCTATTAAAATTTTAAAAAAATTAATTTCCAGGGGCTGAGTAATATTTTTTCTGGAAAGGGGGCGGTAGGCCAAATAAGTTTGGGAACCACTGCTGTAGATGATTCAAGAGTTGCTTTTCTGCCAGGCAGACCTGGAATTCCTTTCCTATTCTTTGCCTGATCTCAAATTTCAATAAAATCATTATTTACAGGGCACCTCCCAGGTGCTTCACATGCATAATCACATCTACATTATTCACAGCAAGCCTACGAAGTATGTGACATTCTCTCTTTTCTTTTTTTTAACCCTCACCTGAGGATATGTTTATTGATTTTTAGAGAGAGGGGAAAGGAGAGAAAGAGAGAGAGAGAGAGAGAGAGAGAGAGAGAGAGAGAGAGAGAAACATCAATCAGTTGCCTCCCATATGTGCCCTGACCAGGGATCAAACACGCAACCTAGGTAGGTGCACTGACTGGGAATTGAACCCACAACCTTTCTGTGTATGGGACAATTCTCCAACCGAGAACCCGGCCAGGGTGTGACATTTTCTCTTTAAAGATGAAGAAACTGGGGCTCAGAGAGAGGCATGCCCAATGCTACGCAGGAGTGAGTGACAAGCAGAGTTGGGACCCAGATCTCTTGTCCCAAGCCCTCTACTCTCTCCACTGCACCCCAATAGAACTTCAACTCCCTGTAGGGACCACAGGGAATCAATGACCCTGGGGGAATCTGGCAGAGTCCCACTCAAGTCCCCCTTTGTGTGCCATTGGAGACTCTGTTCAAGGGCAGTGTCACCATCCTGTCCTCTTTCATCCTCTGCCCACTCCCCAGAGATGCGCCGGGCAGAGACTGCAGCTGCGCAGGGAGTGGCCAAGCAGGCCCTCAGGGAGCGGGACCAGACTCGGGCTCAGCTCCAGACCCACGTGTCAGATGTGGAGGCCAAGTGTGAGGAAATCTTACATGTAAGCTCACCCTCTGAACCCAGCCACCCATACCCAGTGCTCCCCATCACCGCAGACCAGGGGCAAGAGAAGCAGATCCCCACAGGGAACTCTGCTCTATCTTGAGGGGATGCAACCATGCCCACCCACTAAGACCAATCACTTTAAGAAATCACTGGCAAGGAAAGCATGTAGACCCACCTGGGCACCCCTCACGCTCCCTCTCCCTTCCTGGAGCCTGAGGCTTGGTGTCTGCAGGGCAGCCTGGACCAGCTCCTGGCTAAGCTGAGAGCCCTTGAGCCTCGGTGGGATGGCGTGGGGCTGAGACTCCCCGCCAGGCACCGGGAGCAGCTCTGGCAGCTTGGACTCAACCCCCTGGACCTGTGCGGCTGTAGCAAACAGCCTCCGGGGCCTCTGGAGCCCAGCAAGAAAGCCGCCTTGATGTAGAAGTCAACAGAACTATGGTTGAAGCTTTTTGGCGAAGATGAGTGCCTCTCATGGGAACATCTTGGTTCTGGCTGACCCATTAGCCCAAAGACTGAATGATGGGAGAGAAATCTGACAAGGTCTTAGACCTGCTCCTAGAGCAGGGGTGGGAACGTCCGGCCCCGCAGGCCTATATGGTCTGGCCCTGCCAAGGCATTAGGGGTGAGTTAATTAAATGTTTGACCAAATATAGCAGGCTAATTTTTATTTTCAAATATATTTTTATTGATTTCAGAGAGGAAGGGAGAGGGAGAGGGAGATAGAAATATCAATGATGACAATCATTGATCGGCTGCCTTCTGCACGCCCCACACTGGGGATTGAGCCCACAACCTGGGCATATGCCCTGACCAGGAATCGAACCCCAACTTCCTTATTCATAGGGCGACACTCAATCACTGAGCCACGCCAGCTGGGCAGGCTAATTTTTAAGTTGATAATTTCGTATGGCCCTTGAATGATGTTATATGTATCCAAATGGCCATTGGCAGAAAAAAGGTTCCCCACCCCTTGAGCCTGGGGCTCTTTTTGTCCCTTTGAACAATAGCCTCAGACCCTCACCCACACAAACACAGGCAGGCAGGATGGTGGGGGCGGTCAGGCACAGCCCGCAGTCCTGCGGGGCTCACAGAGGGACAGTGTGACTGGTCTCCAAACTCTTGCAATCCATCCAGGAGTCCTGGAGTCCTGCCCAGGGCAACTTCCAGATGGCTTCTAGCGGGCCCCCCGGCCCACCGCCCGCCGACAAGGGAAAAGTCTGTGTTCCTCTTTTCTATGAAAACACACTCAGTGCGACTTTACTTCCGGTCACCGAACGTGGAGGGGCTTTCCCCACACTAAGACATTCTCCACCTCTTCTGTGGGTACCAGTTCAGTGTCCTACAGTTTCACTCAATTCTGACACTTTCTACCTAGAGACGTCACAGGTTAAGGACTCAGTTCCACAAGACACCATCCTCAAGTACAGGTGTCACCTGCGCTTCTGACCAGCGGGCTATGCATCAGAAGTTCCCACGACCCCCCACCATTTGCTAGAGGGGCTCATAGAACTCAGGGAAACAGTCTACTTACTCGATTACCAGTTTATTATACAGGGTACAATTCAGAAACAGCCGGAAGGTAGAGACGCCTGGAGCGGGCGTGAGCATGAGAGTGCCTGCCCTGGCCATGGACGCCCCCTCCCCTCCCGGCACCTCCACGTGTTCTGGGTTTTTATGGAGGCTTCATCACAGCAGCATGACTGATGACATCACCGGGGGTTCATTAACGCTCCAGCCCCTCTCCCCTCCCAAGAGCCCAGGAGGGAGGGTGAGGAGGGGGGTAGGGCAGAAAGTTTCAACCCCATTGGTTCCCCTGGCAACCATTCCCTCCCCATCCTTAGAGGCTTCCAAAAGTCACCTCATTAACAAAATTAGGTTGCAAGAAGCACTTTATGAATCACAAAAGACCCCTTGGTTGCTCTAATTGCCGAGGAAATTCCAAGGGTTGTAGGAGCTCTGTGCCAGGAATGCGTCTGAAGACCAAATATGTATTTTGTTTTACAAATCGCAAAATCACACCACTCATCGCAGGCAGAACTTCATCCCGGGGCACAGCGTCCACGGTTCCGCATGGCTTCCTCTGGAGTCCGAGGGGAGCAGTGGGGTGGGCCACCGGAGGTCCCTGACCACACCCTCCTCTGGGAGGCGGGCTGGGCAGGCAGGGAGGCTGGGCAACCTGTGACTTTCCAGCGTCCAGAGCTCCAGTTCCCGCCCGCCCCGCTGGAGCCGGAAGGCAGGGAAGCTGCTGGCCTGGCCTGGGCCGAGGAGGGGAGCGCTCCGGCAGATTCGAGGCTACAGCCCACTCCTGAGCAGGGAGGGAGGGGGAAGGTCACTCAAGGGCCAGCAGAGCTCCTTTGCCCTGGAATGCCCAGGAATGGGACGTCTCCATGGTCCTTCTCTTCCCACCGACCATGGCCTAGAGCCCCACCCTCCGTGCCCCCCACCCTGCTTCCCCCTGCTCTGCCCACCTCTCTGGTTCCGCTTGGCCGCTCCCCAGCTGCTCATAGTCCCTCTGTCTCTCCTTCCTCACCTCCAGGGCCCCGGGGACCCATGCTTACCAGCCCCGCGGAGACCTGGCCCCCAGCTTCAGGCACAGCGGTGGCTCGGCCTCGGCCAGCTGGTGGAGCCTGTCCACGTCGTCCTCTCCGTCCACAGGGCGCCCGTTCACCTCCAGAATCTCATCGCCCTGCTGCAGCCCCGCCCGGGCAGCCGAGCCCCCTGGAGTCACCTGGAGGCGGGATGAGAGGCAGCGCAGGGAACTTTCTCGGGGCCTGGGAGGCAGCGGAGGCAGGTCCCGCAGGAGGGAAGGCCCGTGAGCGTCAGTCACCTGGGAGATGGAGAGGCGAGGCCCGCTGGCCACGTAGCTGAGGCGGAAGCCATAGCCGCCGCCAGGCCCGGGGTACAAGCAGCACTGGCGGGAGCCACGCGGGGCACGAGGCAGGGCTGTGTCTGCACCTGGGGGGTCCTCGGTCTCAGCCCCGGAGGCGGAGCGGGTGCTCTGGGGCGAGGCGGGGGCCTCTGCGCTCTCCAGGAAGAGCAGCGGGGACAAGCGCACCTGGAGGAGGTGGAGAGGACAGACCCGCTGCTCCCTCCGCCCGCGCCCCTGCGTGCGCGGCCCCTCCGCCCCTGCCCCGCCTCCGGCCGCACCATTCTGAAGAAGCGGTCAGCCTCGGGGTCCACGACAGTGAGGGCCACGCGGGAGCCCTGAGCTCGGATCCTGGACACCGTCTCCTCGTGGCCCAGCCCCTCCACGCTCTCCCCGGCCACGGCCACCAGCCGGTCCCCAGCCTGCATCCCAGCCTTGTCGGCCGGCAGCCCTGGGTCCACCTCCCACAGGAACTGCCCTGGGACACAGACAAGCTCACGGCTCCTCCCCTGGCTCCCCAGGCCAGCCAGGCACAAGGGACGGACGGGGTCCCCAGCAGGAGGTCAGGGCTGGGCGCAGACAGGGACACCCGAGAGGTAGGTGCACATAGACGCTGTGCCCACCCCCCGACCCGCGGGCTCCCACTCACCGAGGCGACCACCAAGGCCCTTCTCCTCCCGGAGCAAGAACCCGAAGCCCTGGGGCCCTTTCTCCAGGTGCAGACAGCGGGGCCTGGCGGGCAGGGCCCAGCCCTCTGCCAGGGGTGCGGCCAGGGGCATTCCCCGCTGGCGACACTGCTCCTCCACCTCCGGCCCTGCCACCAGCAGCGTCACCTGCTCGCCACTCTGCCAAAGCTGTGGGGACCAGCAGGGCCTCAGGACCAGCTGGGGGGCGGGCGCCCCTTCACAGCCCCTCTGCCAGCCCAGGCAGGAGGCCCTGGGGGAGGAGAGGGCACAGCGCACACACCGGACAGGGAAGGGGTGATGGGGATGCAGGAGCAGATCAGGGGCTCGGGGCCGGGGGCGCCTGCTCCGAGGCAGGGCGGCCAGGGAGAGGGCGATGGGGAGCCGCCTACCCGCCTGCTGAGCTGGCTGTGAGTGAGCGTCTCCACGCCGACCCCGTTCACCTCCAGCAGCCGGGCCCCCGGGGGCACCCCTGCCCGCTCGGCGGCTCCTCCAGGACTCAGCACCAACCAGAAAGAGCCTTTATGTTCTGGAGCGCCCCCCGCCCCCAACACACACAAAAGCGAGTGTGAATCTGGCTGCCCAGGGCCGGCCGAGGCCCCCTGACCTCCCCCCACCCCAGCCTCGGAGCTCACCGTGGGTGACGCTGAAGCCAAAGCCACCCTCGTCTCTCACGATGTGGCACAGCCGGGGCCGGACCTCGGGGCCGAGGGTGGGACAGAGAAGGGCGCCGTCGCCCTGCCGGGCTCGGGCCGCGTCGAGCGCCGGCCCCGCCACCACCGCCAGCAGCACCCGAGGGCCGCTGGCCCGGATGCGGCGCGCCACCTGGAGGGAGGGTGGGCGAGGGTGGAGCGGCCCGGCGGGCGCCCCTGCCAGTCCCGTCCCTGGCACCTACACTTCTCACCACCGAACCAGCTCTCCAGATGCCTTTTCCCAACTATTCTGACCGGGGCACCCCTCGCTCCTGGAAGGGGGGGCGGGGGGGGGAGGTGGTCCCCGCCAGGCCGGGGCGGCTTCTTTAGGCTCCTTTATGTAGTTCATTGAAATCAAGTTATTATCTTTCAATATGTCCAAGCAAGTATTATAGATCTTGAGTTTCCAGGGGATGCATTTGGGGACCATTTTCCTTGATGCGATGATGCCGGGCGGAGGTGCCAGGCTCCACCCTTGCACACCACGTGGCGGGCCCCGCCTAGCTTCTGCTGCAGGTGGAA